CTTACACCTTCTGTTTAAAATCCTCGGCAGCTACTGAACGGCAACGTTTTAAAGGCCTCGGCAAGGTTTTTTTTCTCCAACCATTTCCATAAGAATTGCTTACTAGTAGACTGTCTTTGTTGGCTTTGCTAGAAAGAATGATTTGGTTTGTTGGTGACAGAAATGGAGATTGCAGACCAGCACCAAAGACTATTACTGTGCTCATGTGGTGAAAGAGTTAAACCAAACTCCTTTTATCCGTTGTATTCTGGGTTTCTCTCATTTATGAATATTCCAAACTTATTCTCAAGTTTGAACTGCAGGGGTGAAACTTTGTCTTCCATTTCAAAAATGTATGGCGTGTCCGTTTATTCAATTGCAGCAGCTAATGAGGACATAGCGGACATTGACCTTGTTTTCAAAGGACAGCTCCTTAAAATCCCTGCTCCTTCCCTGTTAGATACTCAACTTGTAAGTAAGATTGTTCAGGTTATTTAACATATAATAATCTTGGCTATCAACATTTGCTGCTATGTGGGCTATTAACATTCTCTCTTCTGAGCATTTCCCTGTATTGAATTACATTGCAATCATCTGGCCACACTCAAGTGGTATCAGCACGTCTGGGGTTCAAGTCTCTGTACCTACAACCCCTTTCTTTATCTCATATTACTATCTTCTTTGTACAGAAAAAAAAAAAAAAAAGGTTTTCAAAATCGAACTGTCTTTTTTTTCTTTTTCTTTTTTTTGGGTTATTTTGTCACACTTTAAAACCTGCAAGCCTTCTCATATGATAGTCTAATGTAGGTAGATGGGGAACTAATTTAGCATGTATTGTATAATGTGCTGGATTATTGGATTTGATGTATTTTAATGTTGTATGGATAGAATGCCAAAATATAGTTTGACTTTACCCTAGAACTTTCTGCCTAGTGGTGTTGAATTACGCCCGGATTTCTATCAGCTTTATCTTGTAATTTACCTTGGTACTGTGTGTTTTGTTTTCTTTTAATCAGGATCAGGCCAAGAATAGGTTATGGCATTCCATCCGTGCACTGAAAACTCCTTCACAGAAAAATTTTTCCACCATGCTAACATCAAATGCTTTATCAAATGTAAGCCTGTTTATAAAATGATCACAAAGTTATTGATGATTTACTAGTGTTAGCAAGCTCAATACGCTTTCCTCACTCTATCAGCAGGCTAAAGTCACTGGTTATTTTCTAGTTCTGGTTCCTCTTATAGCATTTTGCATCAGATGCGTAATCAGTACCTTTCGCATTAGAGTTGCTAGAGATATGAGACACCAAGCTGTGGAGAAGTCAAAGGGACATCATACTGGGGCAAAAAGCATGCGATGGAAGTCTGCTCTTAAAGACACAGTGGAAGGAGATGCTTCAGACTCTGAATCAGGACTTGATTCCAATGTAAGTACTTAGTTCAACATGGTTGTGCTGATTTAGTTGTGCTTGGCTAATGATATATCTGTAAATATTAACTATAATAGACAAACATGTTTCCGGTTATCATCCATATATGTCAACCATATATTAAAAAGATGTTGCAAAAATCCAAATGCTTTGATGTCTTTTCACTTGAGCCCTATCTTCCATGATCTTCTATAACTTTTCTATAATGGAGCATGCATCTGATACAACCAGATGCAAGAAATGTAGCATTCAATGCAATATATATTCAGCAGTGATTCTTTCTTTGGTTAAAATGCCATCATTTATTTATTTATTTTTGTGTAGAATTCATCATTTGGAGTCCATATTGCATGGGTTCTATAACTGGCTACTGGTATATGTTCATCTTGTTTCTTTCCAGAGATTCTAACTGTTTTGAGGTGTTTGCTAAGTGATAGGAATATCCATAAGATAACCATATGATCTTATGTTGACACGAGTACCCGTGGAAAAGTCTAGCATCCACATAGAGTGTCTTAGAGCCCTCAAAACTAAAACTTTCAACAATAATCTTTTGTGAGTTTTGCTTGTCCCATGTAACTGTGAATTGCAAGCAGAGAGGGTAAGTAAGCTGTAGGATTTCAAAAGACTATGTCTTATCTTCCTTATGCCATCATAGTGGAGTAATTTTACGTAATTCTGATTGTCCCTGCATACGAATATTGGAAATATTTTTCCTTTGTTAACTTTTTGCTGACTAGATGATTGTACATGGGGCAGCCTTAGTCTCAGCCCCCAGTTAAATGACCCTTTATGCTGGGCATCGCTGTGAGTTTACAGTTTAGTTTGTTTGAAAGTGGGATTTCTTAGAATATCATTCTCATGTTTCTGACCACATTGAAGAACAGAAAACTGTCTGTTGGATAATAGAAGTTGCATTACGATTCTTGTTAGGTTGCTTCAGTGATGGTTTTGGTGGCATAGAGTAGAATTGCGTACTGCATCCATTCAGGTGGGAGATATGACTGCAATATACCATACTATCTGTCTGTGGGACTGAATGATGCACCAGAACCAGAGAATGCTCAATACAGGCTACACAGGGCTTGACATCGCTTGTGAGATAGAAGATGCAATTATGGGTTTGGCTGTGGAAGATTGCCTAAAAGCACAGTGGCTACTACTGCATATTGGAGTCATGCATAATATAGGCTTTCAAGCATGGTTGTTCACTTTTGCAATGGCTTGCAGGGTTGATGGTCTCCTTGTATGTTGTTTGTTATGTAAGTGGCAATGATGGGATGTCAAGCTTTTGCATTGATGCTACTTGGCTTAAGGACCTTATTACTAAGATGATTCATTCATCATGCTAGACACAATGAGGAAGCCAGATATGGCTACTTTGAGTGACTGGTTCTTACCTTTTTGGACAAAGAGGACATGGCAGCTCCATGATATTTTGGTATGCGTGGGAGTCAGATTGTGAGACAGATTGAAAAATCATTTACAGTTATCAACATAATTAGTTAGAAAAATTCTTTCCTTGATTCTGAGGATTGATGAAACTGCATTGTCCCTTGTACCTGCAACTCTGGAAACTTAGGGTATACTGTTTGGTTCCTACCCTTCTTGTTTGTCAAAATCATTCAGTATGGAGAAGCTTCAACCTGCCAATTACCAATGACAAATCATTTTGGATTTGCTATTTGACAGGGAGTCCAGTTTGCTACACAAGCACACAAGAGATAAAGAAAATGAAACAACAGACACAATAGATGTTCACATAATCAGCATTAGCAATCATGATATATTTTTGTTTTTGATTTGTTTGATAGCTAAATGGTACTACTTTGTTTACAAACTCTACATGTTATATCAATATCTCTTATGATCAAAAATTTCAGAATCCAGCTTGGGTGCTAAGTTACTTTGGAACTGTTGTGCAGAGTCCTTCAGAAGATGAAGCTTACATTTCCTACGATGAGGCCTCTCAGGATTACGGTAGACTTCAACATGATTATCAGAAATTTCTCTCAGAATGTGGTATTAGTAAATGGGGATATTGGCGGGGTGGTTTTCCTGGGGCCTCACAGGAGCATTAAAATGCCTTTTTATTCTTGCTAGTATAATGGATACTGACGTTGAACAATAGCTCTATTGAACTTATGTACAGAGCAGCAATGATTTTTTGCCCTGCATTTGACTGCTATTATTAGCTACTGCATTTGCCCATATTTTTAATGAAATATTCCTAACATACAAAAGACAATTCAAATTATATTGTATGACCACTTTGTTTTCCTTTTAATGAAGTTACTATAGAGCATCAGGTGGATGTTTATATGCAGTCATTTCGATGCACAAGCATGGTCAAATAGGCCATGAATTTTGAAGATTATTTCAATTACAGCATGAGATTTCATGCATCTATTACTATACATGTAATCTTGGCTTTCACAGCAGCTTTTAGGGATTTAAATTAATGACTTATTAAGGTTTGAACTTTGAAGCATGCTAAAATTTATATATACAAGAATTTTGACTTATTACTTATTTAAATATTACTTACCATGTTGTCAATTTAAAAAGTATAATCAATTTTTATATTTAAAACTTTTATCTTAAATTTTAATTCGATAAAATAATTTGAGAAAAAAAATGAAAATGACCACTCGTAGCAATACACAAGATATAACCTCGTGATTTGATTATCTTAAAGACACAAATTCTCATGAACCAAATGCCAAGTAAAGCAATAGGAATTTTATGGTAAATTATCGTGTACCTAGTTTTTTATATATGAGTTATTGTATGACAATAGCAACTTGGTATGTAATAATTCCTTATATATTCTACCCTTGCCCAAAAGTGCTACTCCCCATAGCGAGTGAGAGAATAATAGAGCATTCCACCCTCACTAAAAAAGGAGGCAAAATTATGGTAAATGCCCAATCCAATTATTCCAAACATTTGTTTTTTAATGTATGTTTTTTTCTTATCCAAAGAATTGAATTCCAAATCTCCGTATTTTTTTATTAAAAGAATCGAATTTGAATTCTCATTTCATATATTGTAAAGAATTAAATCTTGATAATTATCAACATATAAATTTTTTAGTTCTATAAGTAATGTTAAGATACTAACACATCTTTTATTTTTATTTTTAATGTATTTTTTATTTTTTTATAGGCATCTTGTGAAATCTAAAAATTTCATTGTCAAAGTAGTTGAATTTCTTTTATATATATATATATATTTATTTATTTATATTTATATTAGTGTAAGTGTTACACACTTTTTTTGAACCTTGAATATCTTGATCCAATGATAAAAAATGTACACTTACGTTAGTGCAAGTGAATCCCTCCTACACATATAAGGGATCAGCCTTATACTAGTATAAAACTAAAAGGTTTTACATTTTTCTAACAATTTATTTCAACCCAAAGATAAGAGAGATAAATAAAAAAGAGAAATAAAATGATTTAGTTTGATTTTTTGGATCTATTAAAATTAATGATTAAGAAACAATATAAAACTTATTAGTTTACAACGGTGTAAATTGATCCATTCTCGTAGACGTAGCATGAAAAAATCAAGAGAAGAAAAAAAAATTGAATCAAATGCTATAATAACTTCATAAACATAGATCCCAAAAGATAAGGTATTAAAGATGAAAATTTCTTGAATAAAAAGGAAAAGAAAGCATCCTTTCCAATTCCTTGGGGTTGGAAATTGAAGTAATTAAGGACAAAAGGGTCTACCAGAGCCAACCCTGTGACTGGGAATAATGAAATGCCTGAGTCTTCCTTCTTGCTCTGTCAGGTATCCTTCACAAAGAAAAGCCTTTGAGAACTTATCTTCCACAACTCTATCCACATCATGCACAAAAACGTCTGTCTCCCCTTCTTCTCTGTTCCTAGCCATCAAGCCTGCAGTGTAGATAGCATTCATTCTCCCAGGAGCTTCATCGTGGAATCCCGTGGGGGCATCAACCATTATCAGATCCCATTCTATATCATAAACGTCACTTGGAAATCCTTTGAGAGCAAGCGCACACTTGGAGAATCTGGGGTCACTCACAACTTTGCATTCCTCTTGCCTTCCTGTCTCTAGCAGATCATCTGCTTGGTGAACTTTGGTCGCATACTCAACATGGTATGATTCTAAACTGGGAAGTTTTTGCTTGATCTGCTCGATCCATGCCTTGTCTTCTTCCAGGAAAACTGTACGCCCACCGTGGTTAAGAGCTGTCCACATCAGACTGTCACGGCCTAAGCCGAAGACCAAGAAGTTGCAGGGTGCTTTCCTCTCTAACACTCTCCCAGAGACTGAGATTTCCTTGAGGGTTTGTTGTGGGGTGATGTTTGTGGTTGCATAGTGGATGAGGGCATTGGCTAGAGATGGTGGGGTTTTCGTGCATGTTGGCGTCAGGGGAAGGGATGGGCAGGCTACTGACGTTGATTCACTCGATTGTGGCTCCTCAATGGGATCTGTTGAGTTTGATATGCGGGATTCTGAAATGGGTGATGGTTGTTGTTTGGAAAACGTAGAGCCTGTGCTAATTACCAGGAGGAGGAAAAGAAGAAAGAAAGCACAGATCAGGATGAGCTTGGTGTTAAAAGGAGACTGAGGTTTTGAGTTTGACCTCATTGTTCTTGCTTCAATTTCTTTTGCAGGCTTTACCAAAAAGACAATTCTTTTCCAGGGAAAGGGGGGGAGGGAGTGGAAGACAATCCAGTTACCAGATGGGTATATGATGTTGATTATGCTGACGCTTTTCTCAGGCTATATTTTAGTATCTCGAGGGACGTGAGGAGAAAATGACATAATGAAACGTAAACCAAATTATTGAGTTTGGCTCATTTAAAATCAATTTCCTAAATAGCCAAAATTAAAGTTAATTTGAATTCAAAATTTAATTAAATTAATTCATATAATTATTTTTTAAAATTAGTATAAATAATTATAAATTATAAATCTTAATATTTATAATTTTTTTATTTCAAGTTACAATTATCTTTACATAAAAAAAATAAAATTAATTTAATCTAAAATTTAACCCAATTACTTTATATAAACACTATTCACATAAGGATTGTAAAAAAATCAAAGTTAATTTAATTTTCATCATTACTCTTTGGATCCCTTTCTTTTCATCTTTCCTTTTCTTTTTTAATGTGGCTCTTGAACCATTGTGATTAAATCATTAAAGCATTCTTTCAAAAAAGGAAAGCTAATTTCAATTGTTTGTTGTTGATATGACTCGATCTTAGAGTTGAAGCAAAGGAGAGTGATGTAGACAGGAAATCTACTAAGGTTTCTGTTGGTACAAATAAAAAATACATGTTTGGTAGGTCTGCTCATGTGGATTGAATAATTGAATTTGATTTTCCTTATTTCTTAAATGGAAGTTGTGAAGTGGTTGAATGTGTTGATGGTACTATGATCTGTTTTCATTACATAAATTAATGCCTTTCAAGGCATCATATGTGCTGGCCAAAGGGAATTCTTCTTGGTAGTTGCAACTTTTTTTTCTCAAAGTATGAAAGCCTAATTATTATGAAGACTCTGTTTTTTTCTAAAATTCCCTCACTGTCCTTCTGTCTTACTTGTTTTATTTAAAACAATTAAAAATTATATTTGAACAATAATTATTTGGGTAATTGTATTTTTAAAATTAGTAATATGGTACTTGAATTGAACTGTTAGTCAAAAAAAATGAATAGACTATCATCCAATTACCTAATTCAATGGGTTATTATGTATGAAATTAATTTTTAATTTAAAAAGTTCTACATCAGCATATATGTGACATACCATCACTGTTCAAAAACTTTTTTTTTTTTGCTAAAGAAAAAATTACGGTTTTTTAATTAAAAATTAAACTAAAAACCCCTTAATCAAAAACTTATATTTATTATAGTTTTATCATTATTTTTGGTTTATTTTGTATATATAATTTTCTATTTTTCTTTTGCAATTATGAAACAATTTCATATACTATTAATCTGCATTATTTTGGAGGAGAAAAAGCCATTTTTTTTCTATAAATTGGAGTTTTACTTTTTTTTTTTTGTTATTCTTTTTGGAAAAAATCATAATATTTTTCTTTGGCAAGATAATTGTAGCCAAAATTTTTGGACCAACGATGCCATCTATGCTGACTTAATTGTTTTTTAAGTGAAACTTTTTCATGAATGAAATTAATATAATACATGACATTTCACATGTCATATTTTTATTAGATTAAAGTCAATTAATCACTTTTGACTAATTCAAGTATCAAATATGCTAACAAATTATTAGTTCAAATACAACATTATCCTTTTCAATTCGGTCAAAAAAAATATAAATTGTTCTTTTCAAAATTTAAGTATTAATTTGAAATTTCAGCTATTGTTAAGTAATAATTTTGTTATTAATTTTATTTAAAAACATTAAATACTATTATTATTATTATTATTATTATTATTATTTACCTTCGTCGATTTAAATTATATTAGAATAATCTTAAAAAAATAAGATTTCATTTAAAACATGTTGTCTCATGATTTTTTTTAAAGTCTAATGAATAACATATACTCTCCAACACCAAATTAATTCATATTAACATTCCTACTAATTTTTCTTTTATATCAACCGAAATCAAATTCAATTTCAACACTACAAAGGCAAGAAAGCTCGATTCTCCAAATCATCTTTTCAACCCTCTACTCTTGTCCCATACATGTTTACCAAAATTTTTTCAACAATTATTTTTAGAAGATAAACTTTAAAAAATATATTATGCAATTTAAGACGGATCGAAAGTGTCTCCTAAAATTTAAAATTTAAAATTTTTTAAATATTTTAAAATTTGATACTTAATTACTTTTTAGAGGTGAAGTAAAAAATTTTGCTTTTAGGTTTGGGTAATGTAAAAATTTAAATAATGTATGAGACGTAGTTTTGATTTATAAATATAAGTCTCATGATAAAAATCTAAAGGGTTATAACAAATAAAAGATGAAAAATGTAAGAAAAGTTAATCCCATAATTAATTATATAAATAAAGATTATAATCATTTAAATTTTTTAATTGTTTTTTTAAAGGTTTTTTAATTGTTTTTTATTAGCATAGAAATAAAATACTAATTGACATATCTTAATTAAGGTAACAAATAAACGTATAAAATGTTTAATTAAATGAAGAATTAAAGAAAATCAAATTAATCATGAGATTTAAAGCAAAAAAAGTTAACAAATATATCATACTAACTTATAAATTTTGTAAAAAGATCCAATTAAAAAATCTTGGGGAGGGGAACTAAAGTGAAAATTTTCCTTTTTCGTAGTTGATAAAAGGTCTATTAGACTTTTTCCTTCAATTTTCAATGGCTCGGGGCTCTCCTAAATTTACTCCTAGTACCTTGTGCATTATTTTCGTTAATTCTAAAATTAATCTCATTAATTTTTACCTGGTTTTCTTCTTTTTTGCAAATTCTCTAGCCTCTCTTTTAACTTTTGTTTCAATAAATTTGCTCATTATACTTGTTAATTGTTGGAACAAATACAATATTTTTATCAAATCATAAATCTCAAAAAATCTTTTTTTTTTGTCAAACATTCCTAAATTAAGAATGAAATGACATTATCAACAAAAGATATTACTCCATATTAAATTATTCAAATTTTAGAAGAAAAATAAAGAAAATAAATGTTAAAAAATGCCTAAAAATAATAAACAAACACATCAATCAAAGAAAAATTGAGACCCCAAAAATATGAAAACAAATGAAATAAGCATTAGAAAAATATAATTTACAAACTAAGACTTGGATTTAGCGCAGACTACATTGGTGGCCCCAAGCTTCATACTTTAAATCTTAGGATGCTTATCGGCTTCTGTTGAGGGACATTTCCCTACCAATTGGTACTAAATAATTGGCTTTTCATTATTTTTGCTATTGAGATTTATTCTCTCTTGAAGCATCTCATACCCGTTTCAATTCGCTAGTTAACTTAGGTGTTAGCCAATAAACTACTCCCTTACTTTACTAAATAAAACGATCCCTCTTTGTGTGATTTTGCTACTAAAATATTGTGAATGGATTAGGAAGAACGATAAAAAAGAGAAAATGGTTAAAAGGAAAGAACCTAAAGAAAAAAAAAAAGGAGGTAGATAGTAACAAAAGAAAAGAAAATTAAAGATTATAGCATTAAAGTTAATGGACGTAAGGCAAATGTTAACAGAAGTACTATAGAAAATAAATTGTTAGATTTTAAACCTTAAAGTACTTTCAATTTATGAAGTTTACCATTCTTAATTTAAGGATACCCACTATGCAAATCTATATTTGAATACAAGCTGGAGCCTAGTAAAATATCTAGTACGTCTTCAAGCCTAGGTATGGAAACCTAAACTTGATAGTTATCTTGTTAATAGCCATGTTGTCCATGCACATCCTCTATGAACCAGGCGTCAAGATGTTAATAAAAGTTACATAGAAAATAAATTGTTACATTTTAAACCTTAAGGTATTTTCAATTTGTCTTAAATTACATGATATATTTCAAGAGTTTAACATTTTAAAACTATGGATATCCACTGTGCAAATATATCTTTGAATGCAAACTAAAGTCAACTAAAATATACATCGTGTCCTCAAGTCTAGGTATGGGAAACCTATGCTCAATTGTGATCTTGTTGATGGATACATTGTTTATGGCTCTATGCACATCCTTCATGAACTATCCATTTTAGGTGTCAAGAACGCAAGAACATCATGGTGACTAACATTATGCATAAGCATAACAAACTCCTTTGTTAAAAGTTCACCTACTTGCCTATTCAGCTCATCTTTTAAGTGTTCAACCTATGATAAGGCAAGTTGGGTAACTATGACCTTGGGACCAAGTCTATGGCAAGTTGGATATCTCTCACAGGAGATAAGTCACCAAGTTTATCTGGTATATCATTTATAAATTCACCAAACAATATACTCAAATCAAGAGTCATAGTACTTTAAATAGTAATGGACTTATAGTTTTTTTTTTTTTTTTGTAACTAGGCCAAGTGAACATTTACTCTCTAAGATATCCTTTTCAAAATCTTTACAACGTTAATACATGAGTGTTTTGTTACTTATACAATTAGAAATCAACTTATCCTTAGGACAAGATTCACCAGGTGATAGTTTGACAAGAATCAGAAGGATCCAATGACCATTATGCTTAAATATATGGGTGTTATCTTAACCATGACTAACAACATCAATATCAAATAACCAACAACAACCAATTACACTACAAGAAAACTGACATATACTGATGCTAAAAAATTATCGATATAACTAAAAAATTCATCAATATAGCACAATAAACCCTATACCAATGGTCAAAATGTGTATTCTTACAAATTTTTAATGATCAATATAGATCTATACTGACGATTTTTAAAGTGTTGAAATAGCACATAAAGATATACTTACAGTTTAAGATCGTTACTAAATGTATATCTATTGGTATAGTATTTGTTGTATGTTCTACCATGATACTTTTTGTCGACGATTAACACTTGTTGGTATAAATTTATATGTTTTAATTTTTTTTACCTATACCAACGGTTAACGTCCGTCAGTATAAACTTGTAATTTTTCTTACTTATACCAATGATTAGCACCCATCAGTATAGACTTATATGTTTTAATTTTTTTTACCTATATCAATGATTAACGTCCATCAGTATAGACTTGTAATTTTTATTACCTATACCAATGTTTAACATTTGTCAGTTTAGACTTTTATTTTTTAATTTTTTTACCTATATCGATGGTAAAG